GGCATTACAGAATCCAAGTAATTGAGCCACCATCTGCCTCCTTCCAGGGCGCACATTAGCAGAAAGCTGACCAGAACAGAGAAGCTGGGACTTCATACGGGAGGTGGGTGTCCCAGCTATGTGCTACATGCCTGTTCCACGCCACTAACTTTGTGGGGTTGTTATGAGTGGTCAAGAAGTTAATGTATGTAAAAAAAAACTATTTTTTCTTTTTTTTAAAGATTGTTTAAGACTCATTTGTTTACTTTAAAGGCAAAGTTACAGAGAGAGAGAGAGAGAGAGAGGAGGGAGGGAGGAAAGAAGGTAGAGAGACAAGGACAAAGAGAGATCTTCCATCTGCTGGTTCATTTGCCAGATGGCTCCAACAGTCAGGGCCAACACAGGCAGGACAGAGCCAGGAGCCAGGAGCTTCTCCCAGGTCTCCTCCATGGGTGCCAGGGGCCCAACAGCATGGCCGCCTCTTACTGCTTTCCCAGAGCATTAGTAAGGAATAAGGCCAATAGTGGACCAGTCGAGACTCAAACCAATGCTCATTTGGGATGTTGGCACCACAGGGGAACGCTTAACTTGTTCCACCACAGCGCTGGCCTCAAAATATTATCTTGATTTAGATTCTACCAGTACTTCTCAGGAAAAGCACTTTGGTGGAAGTGGTTTATTTGGAAGGTGATCTCAGGAAGCATTTTTAAGATTTATTTACTTTTACTTAAAAAGGCAGATACACAGAGAGAAGAAGAGACAGAAAGATCTTCTCTCTGCTGGTTTACTACCCAAGTGGCCGCAAAAGTTGGAGCTGAACCAATCCAAAACCAGAAGCCAGGAGCTTCTTCAGGATCTCCCCTGTGGGCATAGGGTCCCAAGGCTTTGGGCCGTCCTCCACTGTTTTCCCAGGCCACAAGCAGGGAGCTGGATGGGAAATGGAGCAGCTGGGATATGAACCAGCTCCCATATGGGATCCTGGCACATGTAAGGCAAGGAATCTAGGCACTAGGCTACTATTCCAGGCCCAGGAAGCAAGTTTACATTGGGAGAATGGGATAAGGGGCAGAAAACCACTAACACCATGCTATTGAGTAACCATTGTGGGCAATTCAAGCTCAGTGCCACCAGGTGTTCTTGAGACACGATGTGCAGTATGCCTCAAACTCATGACATTGTAGGACAGGAGTCAGGGTGTTGACCTGCAGGCCCCTGCCCCGTGTTGGTTGAGAATACCCTTGGTGGTGTTATTTCTCAACTCCATCGTGAAGTACTTATGATTGCTCTTATGTACTCATGTCCCATGGTACTGAGGTCAACCCTCAAGCACAGGAGAAGAAATGTCAGTACCGGAGAAGGAAAGCTCTTTGTAGCGCAGCACTGCGTACAGCTACAGATGAACTCTGGTGGACCAAGAACATTCATGGGTGGCCTTCAGTGAGATTGTTATGAGGACAGATGTTCGTAAGAAAAAAAGAGAACACCCTGACTACTTCAATAGTAGACACTTCTGTCTGCTACAGAGACAGCCTGCTCACCAGCACACGTGGAACTGGCTTCCTCCACCCCCTCTCCCCTTTCCACTTCATCCGTGCCACTTGGATCAGCTTTTCAGCCCTGCCGACATCCAAGTCCTGGTTTCGGTGTTGGTGCCGAAGGAACCAAACCAGGCAAGGAGTGTCACAGCTCTTGATGTCTGACACCTCACAGCCTTTGAGCTCATCCCACCCCCTCCTCCCCTTGCACCCTACATTCTGTATCCATCATCTTCGCCACACAGCAAGGCTGCATGCCACAGCACTGCAAATCGTTGCTTTTACTTCCTTGTCATGCATACACCATCAGGTTAGTGTTAAAAGCCTCCATTCCCTTCCTCACCTCAAACCTGGTACCAATTTCCCTTCATGTCTTTTGCCTACTTCTGGACACTTGCAGTTCAGTTATTCTGTTCTAGCCTCTAGTCCTCAAATATGCCTTTGAAAATGTCTCAACTCCTTGCTCTTATTTTTAAAAAATTAAGGATTTAATTAATTTACTCGAGACGGAGAAAGAGATCTTTCATCCTCTGGATCATATCCCAAATGTCCTCAGCTGGGCTGGGTGGACGCCGTGAGCCTGGGGCTTTTTCTAGGTCTCCCACAGGGTGCAGGGTCCCAAGGCCTTGGGCCATCCTTTGCTGCTTTACCAGGCCTTTAGCTGGGAGCTGGATTGGAAGTGGAACAGTCAGGACTCAAACTGGCACCCAGATGGGATGCCAGGGTCACCAGTGGAGGGTTAGCATGCTACGCCATGGTGCCAGTCCCACCTAATTTCCTCTTACAGACAAGTGTTTTCCTATAGCAAGAGCAGCTTTTGGAATGTTCATTTCGTCACTGTCCTTCCCTCGTCCCCTCCTTCCCTTATTTTCTCCTTCCCATTCCCAGAGTTGTATGTGAAGCTGTGGATTTTAGTTTAGATTCCAGTTTTTGTTGCTGGCCTGTTTTTGAATGTATCAGAACACCCTTGTTAACCATGAGCTTTTGCTAGTAGATACAGGAACATCCTTCAGTGCAGTGACCTCCTAAAAAATTTCAGCGACACCGTGATGGGCTTCTCTACTTCGTAAATTCAGGTTTGGCTATGTGGTGTCTTACTAACCTGGGGCCCGGCTTCCATGTGTTAACTTCCTGCTGAGAAACAAGATAAAGCACAGTGCAGCCTCTCCGAGCCAGAATTTTTCTCTCAGGAAATCCTTGCACTTGTAAATTTACGTTCCTGTATCTCTTTGATAACCTTGGGGACTTTACATCACGGAAATGAAAACCTTTGAGATGTGTGAGTTTTCGAATCAGCACTTCACAGAATGTTTGGATGGAGGGACAGGAAGAAGAAAAATTGCTGCCTGACACGCATATTAGTTGCTACAAAGCAAAACGAATTTACAAGAACAGCCTTGAAATTGGAGGCAAGCCCCTAAAGGGTTTCTAGCGCTAAAGGGATGGTCACTTGAAAAGCATATTATGGAAGGCAGCCTGCTGGCTGGACTAGTTAGGAACACAGATGCCAACGGATGAGGCCCGGCTTGGCCTTGGCGAGTCCTGGCTCCATCGCCCACACCCTGTGTGAGCTTGGGTGAGTGTCGGCGCTCCGCAGTGCATCGGTCTTGTCAATGCATCTGGGTATAATGGTAAATTTTGCCTCTGGGAGCAGTTACAAGGGCAAGTGCGTTAGTCTACATCTTTTTGCAGGATGAAGTAGGTGTGTGATAAATTTTGGCCATTAAAAATATTTTTAATCATCATCATCTATTTTATCATCATCAATACATGATGTTTGAATAGTTCCTTTATCTAGTCAGTATGCTTTCTCGATTGAGGGAAACTGGATGTCTTTGAGCATTTCTTGAACTGACGAAAAACTGCATTGCCAGCACATGACATGTCGTTTTGAAACAGGGATGCACTGTGGAATAGCTAAATCGAGCCAACACATAGACCTTACCTCACATATCCACCACCCTGAAGGTGTTTTTAAAGGCTGGTGCATTTCAGCTTCGATTTCCCCGTGGGATCTGTTGTGTCTCATGTCGAAATGTCCACCAGGTTTTCATTTTTCCTGGTTCAGTCCCCCGTCCCTGGCAATTCCCACTCATAGGTGCTGCTTGTCCAACAGGTATTCTTCGCACAGTAAATGATGCCAGACAAAGTTATGCTATGCTGAATACTTTATTATTTTATGTAAACATAATTTGCTTTATAGGCACAATAGAACAAAAGCTCTAAAGCCACAAATACATTAGACAATGTTTCAGTTCACCCCAACAAAGCTGAAATGACAGAGAAGCCTTCCCAGTTCTTTTAAGGCAAACTGAGACGTTCTTCGCACTTCCGTGAGGAAAGCCACCATGAGGCAGGAAAGAAGGTGCTTCCCATGGGGGGACATGAAATGACTTGTTTTCACCTTGCTTCTCCCCGCCCTTCACTATGGAGACACTGACCCTGTGGGCCAAACTCTAGCTTTCTCGTTCCACGTTGTGAGAGAGGGCCAGGGTTGGCTTTTCTTCTTACCACCTGGCATGACGTCTGGCTGCTGGAGCAGACCAGGGAGAATGACTTCCCATGCTTCTGCTACGCACTTCCCCAGGCTCATGTTCTCACTCCCTGGAGGAGAGCATGGCAAGGGTGATGGTGTCCCCTCCCGCAGTCCAGCACCCTCGCAATGCCCCCGGATGTCTCTTTATGAAAGACCCTTCTTTTGGCACAGATGTGGGAGAAGCACAATCAATAATACAGCATTTGGCAAAGGTGCTGGGGAGGATAGACAGCCCTTCCCTCTCTAGGGGGTCTGGCACTGGGATGTCAGGGGTCCTGGGGTAGAGGAGAGAGGGTGTTGTTGGTGGGTTTCAATTCTGAGGCTGTCTCGTGCCTCCCCTTCCAGAGGGCAGCGCCTTTCCTGTTCTTGTATATTACTCAGACATCACAATGAGGAGAAAGTCTCTTTAGATAAACATTTGGCATAAATAAGTCATCATCACAAGCTTACAAAGGAAAAAGGAACATGATGAATGAGGTGCCGTTCGCTACAAAACAGGTGATTGTTGAATACATTCATTCCCATCTCTCAGGGCATAGTGTCTCCAACTGGGTTTGTGAGTGGTGGAGGTAAGCGTTTTGATGGAAAGGCTTGGAAGGAGGGCAAGAAGAGTCCCCCTTGTAGACACTGTAAGCCTGGTCAAATGGGGACAGAGCATTTCTTAAGGGTCCAGGAGCTGGGCAACTGAACAAGAGTTTGCAGTCCAATAACCCGGCCCCTGATTTCCAAGGTGCAGGGACCCTGGGTGGCTGCAGGTGGTGGAATCTGTCAGAGGGGAGGACATGCACGCCTGCACATTTGTCACTGGACAGCATTCCTTTGTGTCACAAGAGTTTGTAAGCTGTCGGAATACACTTTGGTAATAAAACAGAAACTCACTGTTCTTTTCTTCCCAAGTCAGCGTTCAAGGGAGCTTTTCTGGTGGTGGTGGGGAAGGGGGATGTGTGGTAAAGATGGGTTTTAGTGCCAGGGATTGCGAAGTAGCATAACTGGCGGTACTGATGACAAGCACAGAGCACCGGAGGATCTCAGGAATGCCACTTAGTCGCACCTAGAGTGAGCTTTCTTAAAACAAGAACATTCACCAGGGGGATTCTGCTCACAAGACATGGTTCCCAAGGAGATGTCTCTGTGGCTGGTCTTGAAACGCACTCCTTTTGGCCTATCTGCTGCCCTGAGCAACCCACGCCCTCCTCTCTGTGCTTGTAAGTGAGAGCCAGGGAAAGAATCAAACACCACAGGGATGGGGGAGAAGGACTCCAACCTCTGATGGTGACATGAGGAAAGCGCCTCACACAGAGAGCTGGGCACTGCCTGGACAGCTGCAGAACGTATGGAAACATCTCCTGGCCTAACCCTCTTTCTGCTGGCCAAATGGGCAAGTGTGCCCGTCAGAGGCACGAGTGGCCGGCAGCTGTGTGTCACTGGCCTGAACAGCTCCAGGCCCTGGACGGAACTTCGTGACCACACCTTCCTGCACACACTCCTCTTTGCCCTTCTCTGCCCCGCAGACTTGTAAATGACTTTGCAAGACTGTTCTAGAACTGTCGAGAAGGACCTAAAAATGGGTGGCCTTGAGAAGAGGGGAGAAGAGAGTGTAACACACAGGTTGAGGCAGGACGTAATACTGCATGGAATGGGGTTGGCACTTAATTTCAAAAACAAGTGAACAACAGCTTTTTAGCTCAGCTGACTGCAGACAAACACGACACACACTGGACTACAGCATCAATTCACCGAGCACGGAAGAGCTTTCTCAGCCAGGTCCTCTTCTCTTCCCCCAGCCTTTCTCGTTCTCCTGCCTGAGTCCCAGGCTACTGGATGAAGGGCATCCGCTCCTTGTTCTCACTGTCGCCCTCGTGGTCTTCCTCCTCTTCCCCTGCCTCGCTGGTCTCTGTGCTGTCGTTGGCCATCTGTAACCCAACAGGACATGTCAGAGCACCACCCACCCCGCCTGCACCTGCCCTGAGCACCTGACTTGGACAGTGGTCATTCCCAGAGGACAAAGGGCCTCTGTGGACTCGCTTCAGTCGCCTTCACTAGCACCTGCTGAGCAGGACAGGGAGCAGTGGAATCCTCTAGAAGCCAGGCCTTGTGCCGCCGGCTCCTTCCCGTTGGGTGCCAGCTCCAGGAGTGACTGCTCTGGATTCATCCTGGATGTGGGATGCTCTTACATCGTGTGCTGATATTCTCACAGTTGTCCTCACTCTGTCTTTCCTTCGAGTCCATCAGATGGATCGTGTTCCCTACTGCACAAAAGCTCCAGAGACCCACGGCTCACTGTCTCTTTGTTTTATTAGGTGCCAGGGATATGCTGGAGAAGGTCCTGAGGTGGTGGCAAAAGGGTTCTCTTGGGCGCTGTTCTGATGAAAGTCCCTCCCTCTGCCCACCACAAGGACCCAGCAGGCTCCGTCCAGGAGTGTTTCAGGGGAGGAAGTCAGTGCCAGTTGTTTAGCTCAACAGCAGTAAGCTGCCAAGGACAGCTCCAGCGCCCATGTCTATCCTCATGGTGCTGTAACAGACACCCGTGTCTAAAGGCCGGATGTTGGGAGCAGAGGACACCCAGCACCCTGCCCCCTTTCCTTCCTAGCCTCATACTCTCACCTATCGTCACGGAGTCCTGGCACCTAGTAGATCACATCCATATGGTTACTGGCCACACAACATTGGAAAACACCCTCTTGTTACACTGTCCTTCATCGGGTGGAACGGGTAGCCTGCCTTTGGCTAAACAAGCTGAAGAAAGGTTTGCAGCGCCAGTCTGAAACAAGCAGGACATCTATGCTTAGGAGCGCTGCAGCTGCAAGAGCCATGCACGCAAGCGAAGAAAGCAAAGCCTCTCTGTGCTAAGCCTTACCTAGGACTTGGGAATCATTCTCACTGACCTAAGGGAACATCCCCACCTCCAAGTCACACACAGGGCACCACAGCTGGACAGCAAAGTAACTTGCCCCTGTTAGAACCCAGGGTTCAGAGCTGGGCTGGGAACCCAGGCAGAGAGGCAGCCTTGCATGGACACCTCAGTGGAATCACAGGGGTGGGGGCAGGATGGAGGCAGCTGGCATCATTCATATGGCACACATGCCATCATTCATGGCAGCACATGCATATGAAGCTGCCAGACGTCACCTGGAAACGCTCCCACCTGGGGCAGCCAAGTGCCTGTAATAGGCAGGTCTAGTTTCTGCTGTTCTCTGCTGTAGACTCTGTCAGCAAGCATCTGCTTGTCGTCCTTGGCACTGACCTCCAACTCTGACAGCCCCTGTCATCTGCAAAGTCCTTGGAGCCTGTCTCCATCTGTCTCACCGGGGCCCTCGCTGACTGAATGGGCTCCTGTGACTTTCACTCACCAGTGGTGTCGGGGTCTTTTCCACATCCAGAATCAGCTTGCCGATGTTCCCTCGGTCATGGATCCGCTGCATGGCCTCCTTCACCTGTGAGACAAGGGCAGAAGCCGGCTGGTTAGGCCTGGTGACCACCGGGAGGTGGGGGAGCCTGAAGGCACACCGTCGCATGTCCGCCAGAGGGCGCTGCGACCCAAGCCGAGAGTGGCTAAGCTGGCAGGTTATGTCCTGCAGGCGCCGCTCACACCCCTTGGTTCAGTGCCAGCCAGTGAGTGAGGCAGGAAGGGTGGCTGTCTGGGGGCCCTACGACCGCCTGCTGCGAGATGCCAGGCCCTTGTCAGTCAGACTGAATTTCACCCAGAGTCAGGGACAGGGCTGCAGAGCGCGTGGTAAGAATAAGGACTCCCAGCAGATCTAGCCTAAGTAATTTCTCCTAAAACCTCCATTTTAAAAACTACTTCTATTCATTTACCCAGTCTGCGAATATCCAATGTTGCTTCTAGGCTGGACGTCAGGATTTTTAAAAAATCCATGAGGAAGTCACAGTGCCCACCTTAGTTAGAGGACCCCAACCTGTGGCTGATGGGCAGCGTTTACTGAGGGGAAAACCTCATTGGAGAGAGCCCTGAACATGTTTCTGTTGTAACTGCCCTCCTGGGGGCTTCATTCCAAAGACTTAGTTCTTCAGTGGTAGCAGAAAACACACACACACACACACACACACACACACACACACACACACACACACTGGGCAAGTACCATAGCTTGGTGATGACTGCCAAAAGAGGCTTTGCCCCTAAGATATTTGTTTATAAAACAGATGCAGATAGGGCCCAATGCGATATTCTAGAGGCTACAGTCATCGCCTTGCATGTTGGGATCTCATATGGGCACTGGTTCATGTCCCGCTGCCCCACTTCCTATTCATCTCCATATTATGGCCTGGGAAAGCAGTTGAGGATGGCCCAAAGCCTTGGGACCCATGTGGGAAACCGGAAGAAGTTCCTGGCTCCTGGCTTTGGATTGGCTTAACTACTGCTGTTGAGGCCACTGGGGAGTGAATCAGCAGATGGAAGATCTTTCTCTCTTTTTCTCCTCTCTGTATCTTCCTTTTTAATAAAAATAAATATTTTTGTAAGCATAAAATAAATCTTTTTTTAAAAAAGCCACAGACTGACGATGGTAGCGACAGGCTCCAGAAAAAGCAGTAGTGCCTGAGGAGACTGTCTCCCTTGTGGCACCATTCTATGTGAAACCTCCTCCTGCTGTAATCCTGAAAGAAGTCTGCCAGCCTCACATGACCCAGTGCAGGGGCACTCATCAACTGAGGCACCTGAGCGCCTGAACAAGACAGGTGCAAGCTAAGTCTGTGGACTTCCCAGATCGCAGCATGACCCACAGGGACATTTTAACTGGTTCACAGCGTGTTAGTTAAGGAGCAGCGGTTAGAATATTGTTGATCTCCACCCACTGAGAAACTAGGAAATTCTGGAAGACTCAGTCAAGCTGAGGGCTGCAACCTTGAGGGGTTCCAGTTATTCTGGCCATCCATTCCTCTGGCCATCTCTGTTTATTTCCCTGTTAACTGCGCCAGCGGGGTCTCTTGTTCCCTGGTATTCAGCTGGGTACCACTCACGTGAGCTCCTGGCAGGAGGCCAGGGGCAGGAGGAGGGAAAGCTCAAGGGTTTCCTCTGCCACTCCTGTCCTAGGCACAAGTCCTGTCCTTTCGCCACAACAGCTCCTGTTCCTGTTGGCCGGTGCCCTCTCCACCACCTCTGCCGTTAGCTTCTGCCCATCTCAACATCCCTGCTGTTTGCAGAAACCTCCTAGCCAATGCTCCTTTCATTAGTATGTTTCCAAAGTCCCACCAAAGTGTGTTGCTTATTTCCTGGAGGACATTGATACATACACACATATGCATTTCATCCAGCAAACATACTGAGCATATGTTTGGCATTAGCCCTGGAAGAAGGTGATGAGAAAACAAAATAAGCAAAAGATCCCTTATCCTTATGCCTCATGGAGACCCAGACTTCATCAAACAGGGACTCAGCTACTTGGTAATCATTTGTGTGGTGCTGTGAAAATGCGGCTGGGGCTTTGATCTTGCTAAGAAGACCAGGGAGAGCATCTGTGAAGAAATAGGCTGGGATGGAAAGGGTGAAGAGAATTTAGCTACGTTGAAGGAGGGAGAGATCATGCCAAACAGAGGGAGTGGAATTGAAAGCAGAAATTTTAAAAGGCCAATGGCCTTGGGATAGAAAGAGCAAAAGTGAATGTGGAGCAAGGTGCTGCGCAGTGGGCTGGGGCCTCGCTGCCGCCTTCTGAGTCTGCAGGCTGTGGTCTCCTGGCTCATAGCAAGCAGGACACCCTTCAGACTCCTCCCTGCTCCTACCTGGGCGCCTGGCACATACCTCGGGGTTCACACTGCTCAGTGTTTGTTTGGGGTCTTGTTAAATGCTTCATAATATTCAATTTCCTTTTGAACAGTGTGAAAGGCACAAAGTCATTAGGATACAAATGACACCACTTAATAACTGTAGCACTTGGCTTGTGCGGTGAATAACAATAAGCCTCACCACCTAAAATAGGAAAAAATAAAGATAGATAATTCCACAGATCACTGTGCCTATTAGATGATAAATTAAAAGCTTTGAGAAAGAAGAAATGAGTAATACTTTAATTAAGACGTACATCGAACAAAGTCATCTGTGGAATATCACTCATTAACAACGTCCATCTTTGGGAAGGATCGATGATGACTGAAAATATAAAATTAGTGTTTAGCACATTTGGGGTAGGTGTCTGGTGTAATGAAGAAGACAACATTTGAAATGCCAGCATTTAAGTGCTGGGATACTTCAATTCCTGGTCCTTTTCCAATCCAGCTTACCACTGATGCAAATGCTTGGAGGGCAGTGGGTGATGGTTCAAGTAGCTCAGTACTCTAGTTGACAAGAGTTTTATAGACACAGACGCTTTTAATGTTTTATTCTTACTTTGAAGAGCAGAGATATCTTTCATCTGCTACTCCACTTCCCAAATGCCCACAACCGCTTGGGCTGGGGCAGGCCAAGGCTAGCAGCTGAAGACATAGGTAGACACACCCTGGGGCTGGAGCCACCACCTGCTGCTTCCCAGGAGGCGTCTTGGTAGGGAGCTGTATTCCAGTATGGCATGTGGGCACCACAAACACTGGCTTACCTAATGCACGACAATGCCTGCCCCTACAGCTTAGACATTTTGGTTCTTAATCATTCAGGAAAATCATCCATTTAGAGAGTGAGGCTGTTTCTCCCTGGAAGATCCCAGTTCCTTAGTAATGAGGTAGCTGCCTTATTTCCCAATGACATGGATCTTATTTATCCACAGATAAGCAAGGCATCCCATGATGCCTGAATGTTTTCCTCTGGAACTGGTCAAATAAATATAAGAACATGTCGAAAAGGGTTATAGCTGTAAGGAATGCTAAAATACATCCATGCCTTGAAAGTTCTTCCATGGGCAGTCATCACTGGAAGGGACAAAAAAAAAATACCTTATGACATTGTGGGAAGTACAATTGAGAAGGCAGTGGTGACTCCCTTTGGCTTGCGGACCAAGGGCTGGTTTGCATGGATTTCGGGCATCTTGGTACTTAAGGGAATTAAGATACATTGGTCATGTCATCCAGACAAATGCATCAAAGCCTGGGGGACACTGGGCATGGTGGACTGAGTGTGAGAAGCAATGAAAATGCCTCTAGAGAGAGCTGGCTCTCCCCTCCTTTGACTAAAGAGCATCTCTGTTGCATCCTCGCACTCACAGAGGATGAATAGGGAGTGGAGGAGGCTCTCCAACTAAGAACGTAGTAGTGAAAGAGTCACACTCACCCACAAGGGTGTACCAGGAGAAGGTGAGAGTCTGACCTCAAACCCAGTAAATACAAAGGGCTCCATGGGATAGTGGAGGAGGCTGCCCACCAGCATCCCAGCAGATGCTGCCGCGATGCACCTGGCAAGCATGCTCTCATTTCTTTGTATCAGCCCTATAAGTTAAGTGGGAGTCTGTCAGGCCGTCAATCAGGGGTACATACAAATATTCCGTCCCCTTCTGCTGGCACCTCTGTTCTCTTAGAGGGGAGCTGAGATGAGAATGAGGTTTAGGGATGCCAAGAGGAGAGGATCAGGAAGAGGACAGGCTTCAACCCCAGCTGGGTCCAACCACAGAGTGTGATGCACTGCTGGTAGGTGTGAGGTGAGATACAAACAGGAGAGAGTGACAAAGTGGGAGAGAGGAAGGAAGGCTGTGTGTGTGTGTGTGTGTGTGTGTGTGTGTGTGTGTGTGTGTGTGTAGCGTGGCGGGGGCTTTGAGGGAACTGTGTAGTACATTGTCTCCTCTGGACTTGTGTGTGCACCTGCCTCTCTTGTTCATGGGTCATGACACTCCATTCTGGCCTAAAGGGTCTCTCTGTTTGGGGTCAGATAATTCCTTGCTGGGAGAGTGGCAGCATCCTTGGCTTCCACCCACCGGTCAGAGGCCAGTTGTGATGAACAGAAATGCTTCCAGGTATTGCCAACAAAATCCTTGCAGGCAAAATTGATCCCCATCAAGAAGGATGATTTTATGAGAATTGTTTTTCCACCTCCCTCCCTCTTCTTGGCCAAGGGGCTCTGCAGGGCAGGCACCTGCCTCAGCTCAGTGCACATAGCACCTCAGATAGGGCCTTAACCCAGGAGGTTTGCTTCTGCTCTCTGCTCAATCCTGGGAGGAATGTGCAGGGCACAGCTCAGAGATGCTCCACAACAGAGGTGCACAGTATGGCCTCTGACTTCAAGAGAGTTGAGGCTACCCTCCAGCACTTGCCATAGTGAGTGAGGGCTGGGCAGAGGCAGAAGCTGAGAGCAGGGAGTTCAATCCAGGAATGCAGGTATCCTCACTGTTAGGCAAATGCCTGCCTCATATGTGTTGTTCTTAACATGTGACAAGTTGCTCTCATCCTAGACTATTATGTTGACAGTGGGGGTCATGAGAGAAACAAGAGAAGAAGCCCCCTGTTTGGCTAAGATGCTCCTGAGAGAGCTGCACAGTATTTACCATGTTATATCCAA